TGGCGCGATCATGGCTCACCGCATCCTCTGCCTCCTGGGTTCAAGTGATTCTCCTGCCTCAGCCTCCCTAGTAGCTGGGATTACAGGCATGTGCCACCACACCCACCTAATTTTGTATTTTTAGTAGAGATGGGGTTTCTCCATGTTGGCCAGGCTGGTCTGGAACTCCTGACCTCAGGTGATCCACCTGCCTTGGCCTCCCAAAGTGCTGGAATTACAGGTGTGAGCCACTGCTCCCAGCCTAATTTTGTATTTTTAGTAGAGATGGGGTTGCACCATGTTGGCCAGGCTGGTGTCAAACTCCTGACCTCAGGCGACCCGCCTGCTTAGGCCTCCCAAAGTGCTGGGATTACAGTGTGAGGCACTGCACCTGGCCCCATATACTTTTTAAACATTTTTTAGAGACAGAGTCTCCCTGTGTTGCCCAGGCTGATTTCAAACTCCTGGGCTCAAGTGATCCTCCCACCTTGGCCTCCCAAAGTGTTGGGATTACAGAATGAGCCACCCTGCACCTGGCAGACACTTTGTTATTATTTTTTTTAATCAGGAAGTTTTAATGATACAGAAAGGTGCTGGTTCCCTTCACATCAGTTGTTTCACTTTTTTGTGAATCTAACTTCCTCTCTGCATCCCACCATAGAGTCTCGTGGGGCAGAGCACACGTCCTGGGAAGCCGACATAGGATAGATCCCCTCGTCCACCAAATAAAGTGTTTGTAAGCTTTACAACATTTGCCTAAATTCTCTGTATTAAAAATAATTTTGTAGGCCAGGCACTGTGACTCACACCTGTAATCCCAACACTTTGGGAGGCTGAGGTGAGTGGATCACTTGAGGTCAGGAGTTTGAGATCAGCCTGAGATCTGGCCAACATGGTGAAATCCCGTCTCTACTAAAAATACAAATATTAGCTGGGCATGGTGGCTTGTGCCTGTAATCCAAGCTACCCAGGAAGCTGAAGCAGGAGAATCACTTGAGCCCAGGACGCAGGTTGCAGTGAACAAAGATCATGCCACTACACTCTAGCCTGGGTGACACAGTGAGACTCTGTCTCAAAAAACAAAAAAAGAAAAAAAAAACTTTTGTTTCCTTACATGATGTGTAATGCAGTAACATTACAATTTCTCTTTCTTGAAGACATTGTATCTCAGTTTGGAATGGAAACTGTTATCTTACACACAGCACTGATGCTAAAGAAAAGAATTGTGGTGTATCACCCCAAAATAGAAGCGGTCCAGGAGTTTACCAGGTATCATCTCTAATTATCAAAAAGTGTTAACTTTCTTGGCAGACAGTTTGCGGTACTAGATGTTACTGTGTGCTCTGTTCTGTTGCACATTTGCTATAAATAGCATGTGGTGAAATACCACCTTTGGTCTGAAGTTTCTGTTTAGCTCTAGTAGTTCAAGGCCACTGATTTGGACTATTTATGACTATTCTAGAGCAGGGGGTTAGCAAACTTTTCCTTGCCAGACAGTAAATACTTTAGGTTTGTGAGCCATATGGTCACTGTCCCAACTACTCAACTGCCTGGGTAGCACAAAAGCAACCATGGATGACATGCACTTAAATGACTCAGCATGGCTGTGGTCAATGAAACTTTATTTTCAAGGACAGGCAGCTGGCCCATGGGCCATAGTTTGCCGACCCGTTTTAGGTAAATTGTTCCTTCTGTTCAATTTTATCAAAGACTCTTTTTTTTTTCTTGTTTTAATTAAAAAATGTTAGAGCAGGACAAAGACTTATTTTGAGAGTACATATAGATTTTTAAAATTTTATTTTATTTTCATTTTTAGTAGAGATGGGGTCTTGCTGTGTTGCCCAGGGTGGTCTCAAACTCCTAGGCTCCAGTGATCCTCATGCCTTGGCCTCCCAAAGTGCGGGAATTATAGGCGTGAGCCACTGTGCCCGGCCAGAATACATATAGATTTTGTTAATGTTAATAATTTTTTTGCCAGGGGGGGTCAGCTCAGGGCCAGGAGGTGTCTGCCAGGCCCCGTCCCCTCTAACAGCCCCCCCACCTGCCATACATATTTTTAAAGAGTTTTTGTTTACTAAATCTAACTTGTTACTAGGTCCTTGTAAATTTTTTTCTTTTTTATTTTATTTTATATTTTTTGTCAAGATGGGGTTTCTGGGGTCTCACTATGTTGGCCAGGCCGGTCTTGAACTCCTGGGCTCAAGTGATCCTCCTGCCTCCGCTGAGATTACAGACATGAACCACCACACCCAGCCATTAGGTCTTTTTTTTTTTTTTTGCAACAGAATCTCGCTTTGTCGCCAGGCTGGAGTGGTGCAGTGGCGCAATCTCAGCTCACTGCAGTTTCCTGGGTTCAAGTGATTCTTCTGCCTCAGTCTCCCGAGTAGCTGAGAGTACAGGCACGCACCACCACGCCCAGCTATTTTTTGTATTTTTAGTAGAGATGGGGTTTCGCCATGTTGGCCAGGATGGTCTCGATCTCTTGACCTCATGATCCTCCCGCCTCAGCCTCCTAAAGTGCTGGGATTACAGGCATGAGCCACTGTGCCCGGCCAGATCCTCTTTTAAAAGCAAGAGGACTTAGCATTCGTGTTGGGTTTACTGTATGCCAGGCATTTTATAAGATACCTTAAATTATTGAATGTACTTATAACAAGAACCCTGCCAGGAAGTATTTTTACCCTGTTTTATGAATGAGAAAATTAAGGTTGGCAGAGGATAAGTATAAGGTAATGAAAAGAACAAAGGCTTCATAGTCAGAAAGAACTGAGTTGAAATCTTGGGAGGGCAACTTATTAGCTCTGTGAACACATAAAAGATACTGAATGTTGGCCGGGCATGGTGGCTCACACCTATAATCCCAGCACTTTGGGAGGCTGAGGCTAGCAGATTGCCTAAGACCAGAAGTTCAAGACCAGCCTGGGCAACACAGCAAAACCCCATCTCTATAAAAAAATACAAAAATTAGCCAGGCATGGTGGCATGTACCCTTAGCCTGAGCTACACAGGAGCCTGAGGTGGGAGGATCGCTTGAGCCCAGGAGGTGGAGGCTGCAGTGAGCCATGATCACGTCACTGCAGCCCAGCCTGGACGACGGAGTGACACCCTGTCACAGAAACAAAACAAAAGAATTGATTGTTTCTGAGCCTGTGTTTCTTTATCTGTAAAATGATCATAATATCTACCTTACAAGTTTGTTTTTAAGACTGGAAATAATTTGTGTAAGATGCTTAACATGTACCTAGCTTAACATGAACCTAGCCTCTAAGACACACTTTAGGAGTTATTATTGTTATGATCATGATTGCATCAGATTTTAAGTGAGAGGGCCAGAACTTTTACCCTGCCCTCTCTGGGTCCAAAAGCCTGTATTTTCTATCCCATCACCTTTTCCCCCTCTACGTATGCTACTCAAACTGGACCGGTCATAGCTTCTGACATATTTAGCAGGGCACCGGGGGTTCATGAAGCCACAGATAAATTTGATACATCTTGTTGCAGTCATTATTCTACCATAAGTTTTTTTCAAAGAAACCTGTGTTATAGGAAAACAAACACACGTGGTTTGCGAGTTTTACTAGAATTTTAAATATAAACAGGAGACTTCCAGAAAATTTCTTGCTTGCAGAGTTAACTTTGAATTTTACCTTCAGACTCCCTTTCCATGGCAGTCTCCAGAGTGGGATGTTCAGAGGAAAACCTTAGAAGCATCACTCCTTGCTACCACAGGGATCTTTTGAAATTTCACCTTGAGCTTTCTGTAGCTGATCTGATCCCCAAGAGCAGAGTTTAAAACATTGCATAGAGGATGGGTGCAGTGGCTCACGCCTGTAATCCTAGCACTTTGGGAGGCCAAGGCAGGCGGGTCACCTGAGGTCAGTTCAAGATCAGCCTGGCCAACATGGTGAAACCCCATCTCTACTAAAAATACAAAAATTAACCAGGCGTGGTGGCAGGCACCTGTAGTCCCAGCTACTTGGGAGGCTGAGGTAGGAGAATCACTTGAACCCCGGAGGTGGAGGTTGCGGTGAGCCAAAATCGCGCCATTGCACTCCAGGCTGGGTGACAAGTGAAACTCTGTCTCAAAAAAATAAATAAATAATAAAACATTGCATTGCTTTAATTTGAAGCCCAGAGGTTAACACATTTGGGACTTGGTCTCACCTCTGTCCCTGATTAGCTATAAACTCTACCCTCTTCATTTCCTCCTCAGGAAGAGGAGAAGGGGCAGGCTGAGTCTTTAAGGTGTGGACCAGCAACAACTTGAGTTCTTGCCTTGATTCCCCAGGACTCTGCCTGCCCTGGTGTGGCACCGACAGGACTGGACCATCCTTCACTCTTACGTGCACCTCAATGCCGATGAGCTGGAAGCCCTGCAGATGTGCACAGGTAGACAAGAGGATCCCAGGGGAGGAACTGTTTTACTTTTTTTTTCTTCCTGAGACGGAGTTTCACTCTTGTTGCCCAGGATGGAGTGCAATGGCATAATCTCAGCTCACCGCAACCTCTGCCTTTGATTCTTCTGCCTTAGCCTCCCAAGTAGCTGGGATTACAGGCATGCGCCACCATGCCCGGCTAATTTTATTCCACTTGTTTTTATTTTGTGCATTCCTAAGTGGAATACTGATCCTTTATTATTTCTTTGGCACATGCAATCAATTTTTTGCCCTTACATTTTTTTTTTTTTTTTTAGTTTAAAAAAAAATTGTGGCCGGGCACGGTAGCTCACGCCTGTAATCCCAGCACTTTGGAAGGCCAAGGTGGGTGGATCACCTGAGGTCGGGAGTTCAAGACCAGCCTGACCAGCATGGAGAAACCCAGTCTCTACTAAAAATACAAAAAATTAGCCGGGCATGGTGGTGGGTGCCTGTAGTCCCAACTACTTGGGAGGCTGAGGCACGAGAATCGCTTCAATCCAGGAGATGGAGGTCGCAGTGAGCCAAGATGGAGCTGCTGCACCCCAGCTAGGGCGACAGAGCGAGACTCTTGTCTCCAGGAAAAAAAAGATTTACTTTTTTTTTTTGAGACCGGGTCTTCCTATGTTGCTCAAGCTGGTCTTGAACTCCTGAACTCAAGCGATCTGCCCATCTTGGCCTCCCACACTGTTGGGATTACAGGCGTCAGCCACCACGCACAGCTCCATTTACCTTTTTAACCATTTTTAAACATAGAGTTCAGTGGCATTAAGTACATTCACATTGTTGTTCAGCCATCATCAAAATGCAACCTGTTTTTGGCTGGGCACAGTGCCTCACACCTGTAATCCCAGCACTTTGGGAGGCCGAGATGGGGTGATCGCCTGAGCCCGGGAGTTCCAGACCAGCCTGGGCAACACAGGAGACCCCGTCTTTTAAATTTTTTAAATTATACTTGTAAAGTTCTTTTTTTTTCTCTTGAGATGGAGTTTTGTTCTTTTTGCCCAGGGTGGAGTGCAACGGTGTGATCTCGGCTCACTGCAACCTCCACCTCCTGGGTTCAAGCAATTCGCCTGCCTTAGCCTCCCTAGTAGCTGGGATTACAGGCACCTGCCACCATGCGCAGCTAATTTTTATATTTTTAGTAGAGACAAGGTTTCTCCATGTTGGCCAGGCTGGTCTCAAATTCCTTACCTTAGGTGATCCTCCCGCCTCGGCCTCCCAAAGTGCCTGGATTGCATGAGCCATTGTGCCCAGCAGAACTTGTAAAGTTCTAGTCTTAAAAGTTTACCAGTGACTTTTTTTTTTCATCTTAACTTTTTAATTATTATGGGTATATAATAGGTGTATGTATTTATGGGGTACATGTGATGTTCTGATACAGGCCTACAATGTATATAATGATTACATCAGGGTAATTGCAGTATCCATCACCTCAAGCATTTATGATTTCTTTGTTTTAGGAACGTTGTGATTCCACTTCTAGTTTTTTTTTGAGTTGGAGTCTCACTCTGTTGCCCAGGTTAGAGTGCAGTGGCACAATCTCAGCATACTACAGCCTCCACCTCCCAGGTTCAAGCGATTCTCCTGCCTCAGCTGCCCGAGTAGCTGGGATTACAGGTGTGCACACCATGCCCGGCTAATTTTTTTGTATTTTTGTTAGAGAATAGAGATGGGGTTTTACCATGTTGGCCAGGCTGGTCTCAAACTTCTGACCTCAGGTGATCCACCTGCCTCAGCTTCCCAAAGTGTTGGGATTACAGGTGTGAGCCACTGTGCCCAGCCAACTTCTAGTTATTTTTAAATATACAATAAATTATTCACTGTAGTCACCCTATTGTGCTATCAAATACTAGGTCTTATTCATTCTAACTATATTTTTGTATCCACTAACCATCCCAAATTTTCCTCCTCTCCCCACTACCCTTCCTAACCTCCGGTACCCACCATTCTACTTTCTATCTCCCTGAGTTCCATTGTTTTAATTTTTAGCTCCCACAAATAAGTGAGAACATGCAAAATTTGTCTTTCTGCCCTTGCTTCTTTTACTTAACATTGATGCCTCCAATTCCATCCATGTTGTTGCAAATGACAGAATTTCATTCCTTTTTATGGCTGTATAATATTCCACTGTGTATATGTACCACATTTTCTTTTCCATTCATCTGCTGATGGACACTTGGTTGGATTCCAAATCTTGGCAGTTATGAACAGTGCTGCAATGAACATGGGAGTGGTGGTATCTCTTTGATACACTGATTTACTTTTTGGGGGGTAAATACCCAGTAGTGGGATTGCTGGATCATATGGTAGTTCTATTTTTAGTTTTTTGAGGAATTTCCATACTGTTCTCCATAGTGACTGTACTAATTTACATTCCCACCAACAGTGTACAAGAGTTCTTTTTCTCTACATCCTTGCCATCGTTTGTTATTGCCTGTCTTTTTTTGAGACGAAGTCTCGCTTTGTTATCTAGGCCGTAGTACAGTGGCACGATCTCAGCTCACTGCAAACTCCACTTCCCTGGTTCAAGCAATTCTCCTGTCTCAGCCTCCTGAGTAGCTGGGACTACAGGCACCCACCACCACGCCTGGCTAATTTTTGTATTTTTAGTAGAGACAGGGGTTCACCATATTGGTCAAGCTGGTCTCAAACTCCTGACCTCAGATGATCCACCTGCCTTGGCCTCCCAAAGTTCTGGGATTACAGGCATGAGCCACCGCGCCCAGCCGTCTGTATTTTTTTTTTTAGATACAAGGTCTTGCTTTATTGCCCAGGCTTGTCTCGAATTCCTGGAATCTGGGATTATATGCATGAGCCACTGTGCCCGGCCATTTTCTTATGAAAATTTTTCGTTCTCTTTTTCTTTTCTTTTCTTTTTTTTTTTTTTTTAAGACAGGGTCTTGCTCTGTTGCCCAGGCTAGAGTGCAGTGGCTCAATCTCAGCTCACTGCAACCTTCACCTCCTGGGCTTAAGCCATCCTTCTACCCCAGCCTCCCAAGTAGCTGGGACTACAGGCATGTGCCACCGTGCCTGGCTAATTTTTGTATTTTTTTTTTTTTTTTGTAGAGATAAGGTTTTACCATGTTGCCCTGGCTGGTCTCAAACTTTTGAGCTCAAACAGTCCACCCGCCTTGGCCTCCCAAAGTGCTGAGATTATAGGTGTGAGCTACTGTGCCTGGCCCAAAATTTTTTAATGTTTTTTATTTCCCAGTTAAGTTATTAATTTATCTGGAATAATTTTTTGTGTAGTGTGTGAGTTTGGGATCTGACTGAACTTTTTTACCCTATAGATAACCACTTAGACCAGGACATTTATTGAATAATCTCTTTTTTTTTTTCAGTACTGAGTAATATTACTTGTCATCTGTCACATTTTCTCATTCATGGGTGGGCCTGGGTCTGGCTCTCAGTAGTAGGTTTTGTTTTTGTTGTTTTGTTAATTATTTTATTTTATTTTATTTTATTTTTTGAGACAGAGTCTTGCTCTGTCACCCAGGCTGGGGTGCAGTGACGTGATTTTGGCTGACTGCAACTTCCACCTCCCAGATTCAAGCGATTCTCGTGCCTCAGCCTCCCAAGTAACAGGGACTATAGGCAT